GTGTTTGTCTAGTACACATGAGTCCCTGAGTTCAATCCTCAGGGTCGAATCAACAGAGCATGATGGTCCGTGTGTGTGTGTGTGTGTGTGTGTGTGCGTGTGCGTGTGCGTGTGCGTGTGTGTAATCCTTGGAAGGTGGGGGCAGGAGGATAAGGAGGTTATTTGAGGCCATCCTGGGCTACATGAGACCCTGTCTTCAAAGAAAGAGAAGGAAGGAAGAACTCAGATAAAGAGTATTCATAATTTATTTTATTTATGTAAAATTCTAGAATAACAAATCAACTTTATACAGAGATAACAGAGATCTGTGGTTGCCTAGGAAAGACTGCATGTATGACAGAGAAGGAGGCAGGGTTGGTGGCCATGTGCGTTATCTGCATTGAGGTGAGAGTTCATGCATTTACTTATTTAAATTGGATGATATTTGGAATTTATTTATTTATTTAACTTTGACAAGATTTGGAATTTAGTCTAAGGTGTCATGAATGCTAGGCAAGTGTTGGACTATGGGCTACAGTCCCACTTTATGGTATTTATGCAGGACAAACCTTATCTAGCTGTATATTTAACACAGGGACCTCTCGTATGTCAATTACACCTGCAAATGTTTCTAAAATATCAAGCGCAATTGAAAAAAGCTAAGCATAGTTCTACTATGTGACCCAGTCTTTCTAAGTAAATTAAAAGAATATAAATGAAAAGCAGTTGATGCCAACTTTTGGCTCCACTCGTACATGTGTATGGGTACATATATGCACCCATCCACATGATCATGTACATACATGACACACACATGTACTTTACATGCACATATATTTATATATAAACACAAATGATCATATAATCTTTTTATGATAGATAAAGATAGAAAACACCCTGATATTTCCAGACGGTGAGTGAGCCACCCAGTTATTGTACACCCATAAAATGGAAAAGGGAAAAAGGACCAAGACAATGCCATGGCTGAGCCTCAATTATGAATTAGAGAATTATGCTGTGTAAAAGGAGCCAGATGATAGTGTCTACTATGGACTCACATTTATGCAAAACTCTAGCAAACAGAGCCACAGAAGGTCAGGCTGTGAGGACAAAGGACTGCGTGTTGAAGGGAAGGATTATAACAAGACATAGAAAAACTTGAGAGTGAAGGGGACATTCACTGTCTGGATTGTGAGAAAACTTGCCTAGGTGAGTACTTCTACTGAAACTTACCAGACTGCCCACCTCAAAGAGATGCACAATGAATTATGACAAAACTGGTAAATGCTAGGCCAGCCTAAAATGCATGGTCATGCCAAGACTGTGCTCAAAATGCTTCTAGTCATAGGAGGGCAAGGTCTGGCATCCGCAGCCTCCCTTGTTCCCCGTGCTCCCACCATATGGCACCGTTCTGTTCTGACACATCCTGCCTCTGTACCGCTCTAGAGCTTTGGGTCTCTCCGTCTCTTCTGTGAGATGTGCTTCCTTGTCTAGGAGGGAACTCATGCCTGGTACCCGAAGCCTAGCCGACCACCTGGAGCTCATGAGGCCATGCATCTTGGAAGAAAGCCTCCACCACAATTCCTAACTACATGCTAAAACGTAGCCTTGTTTGCGCAGATAAGAGGCTCTCTCACTGTTCACCTAAGAAGCATCTCTTTATGGCAAATGGAGTGTTACAGAAAGCCACACCTGGGTAAGAGATTGATGGACTGCGGCAACCTTAGTCCCAGTAGATACATCTGCAACAGAACCCCTGCATGTAGAAATTAGCTCGATTCGGGAAATAACCAGGCCAGCTAAAGGATAAAACAATTATACTTTTATTTATTATAAGGAGAAAACTCACACAACAGGAATGGGAAGTCCAAGCTCAGCTGTGCTGCAGGGAACCACACAGAGAGAGAACACCTGGTCTGTGCCCCAGTTTTTCCCAGGCTCCAGGAAGCCATGCCTTAACTAGGCTCCAACTCTTAAAGATAATTGGCTAACAAGGCTTCTCCATCACCTACACATGTGACTCAGGAAACATCCAGGGAGAAAGGGAAGAAAGATTGTAAGAGCCAGAAAACTAGGAAATCTGCTGTGAAACTGCATCTCCTAGAAATGGCAGCCTAAATAAGATCTTAACAATGGCAATATTCAGAGACGTCCTAATCCTGAAGGGGGAAATCTCATGGAGTGTCACCCCAATACCAAGAACTACAAGGAACTGATAACCGTAGAGAAGGAGAATTAGCCTCTCACAGGGATGAGCCCCTTAACTGGTCACCCAATACATAAACAATAAACAAGGATTCAGCAGTTGTATTTATATGTATTTATATGTTTGTGCATCTGTGGGTATGCATATAATATATATGGGTGTGCATGTGTGTGTGCATGCATGTTTATAACACTAATAAATCAAAGAAAAAGAGGCCATCAATTTGAGAATGGATGAGGGAGAACCTAGGAAGGATTGGAGGGAACAAAGGGAATTGGGGAAGTGGTGTGATTATATTTTAATTAGATATATGTATTAAAAAATTTCAGAGGAGGACCAATGGAACTGAATCGAAGACCCAGATATTAATCCACACACCTATGAACAACTGATTTTTGACACAGAAGCAAAAAAATAAAATAGAAAAAGAAGGCATATTCAGCAAACGGTTCTGGCATAGCTAGATATCAACATGTAGAAGAATGAAAATAGACCCACATCTATCACCATGCACAAAACTCAAGTCCAAATGGATCAAAGACCTCTACATAAAACCAGCCCCACTAAAACTCAAAGAAGAGAAAGTGGGAAGTACACTTGAACGCATTGGCACAGGAGATCACTTCCTAAATATACCCCAGTAGCACAGACACTGAGAGAAACAATTAATAAATGGGACTTCCTGAAACTGAGAAGCTTCTTTAAAGCAAAGGACACGGTCAACAAGACAAAACAACAGCCTACAAAATGGGAAAAGATCTTCACCAACCCCATATCAGGCAGAGGTCTGATCTCCAAAATATACAAAGAACTCAAGAAATTGGTCTTCAAAAGAACAAATAATCCAATAAAAAATGGGGTACAGACTTAAACAGAGAACTCTCAACAAAGGAATCTAAAATGGCTGAAAGACACTTAAGGAAATGCTCAACATCCTTAGTCATAAGAGAAATGCAAATCAAAATAACTCTGAGATTCCATCTTACACCTGTAAGAATGAACAAGATCAAAAACAATGATGACAACTGGTGTTGGAGAGGATGTGGGGTAGAGGGAACATTCCTGCATTGCTGGTGGGAGTGCAAGCTGGCTATCAGTATGGCAATTTCTCAGAAAATTAGGAAACAACCTTCCTCAAGACCCAGCAATACCACTTTTGGGTATATACCCAAAGGATGCTCAACTGTACCATAATGGTATGTGCTCAACTATGCTCATAGCAGCACTGTTTGTCATAGCTAGAACCTGGAAGCAACCTAAATGTCCCTCGATCGAAGAATGGATAAGGAAAATGTGGTACAATTACACAATGGAGTACTACACAGAAAAAATAAATGGCATCTTGAAATTTGTGGACAAATGGATGGATCTAGAAAACATCATATTGAGCGAAATAACTCAGACTCAGAAAGACAAATATCATATGTACTCACTCATAAGTGTCTTTTAGCCATAAAGCAAAGAAATCCAGCCTACAAGTTACAATCCCAGAGAACCTAGACAACAAAGAGGACCCTAAGAGAGACAAACATGGATCTAATGTACATGGGAAGTAGAAAATGACAAGGTCTTCTGAGTAAATTGGGAGCCTGTGGAGCATGGGGAAGAGTTGAAGGAGAGGATAGAATAAGGGAGGGGAACAGAGAAAAATATATAGCTCAATGAAAACAATTAAAATTTTAAAAAATGTATAAGAAATTAAAAATCTCAACACCCCCCCAAAAAACCCCTATATTGCGGAGATAGCACAGTACGTACTACATAAGTATGAGGACCCTAGCTTGCATCCCCAAGACCCACAAATAGCCAGGTGTAGTGTCAGGCATTTTAACCTCAGCACTGGGGATGGAAAGGCAGAGGAGCACAGCAGATCTCTGGAGCTCATTGGTCTGTCAGTCAAGTTCAATCACTGGGCTTCAGGGTCAGTAAAGACCCAGACTTAAACAATAAGGTGGAGGATGATAAGGAAGACACTCAACAGTGAATTCACATGCACACACAGCCACACGTGCACATGAACATGTATAAACACCATATATATATACATATATGCATACATACATACATACATATATACAAATAAAATAAGAAAAGAAGTCTCCCACACATGCTAAGACGCAGCTCAAACAACTTCTCTATACCCCAGCCTTCCCTCCAGCTTCCACAGGGCTTTGTTCTAGTCCATGATTTTTTTTGTAGCTCTATTATACATGCTGAGCTGAGGTTCTCCATACACTGCCTGTTGTGTTTCTCCCAATTCCTCAGTGAGATTATAAGTTCCCTGAGCACAACAGCTTATAGCAAAGGCTTTTGTAAACCTGTTAGAGTTGAATGGGACAACTGTTCTCAAGTTGCTACGTCCCAAGTTCTGCTGTTTTAACCACTCCTGGAGCGAATTATGTGCGTGTATAGACAGTGTGTGCTGAGTGTTTGCACAACATGAGCTGAGCTGCCCTCCTAACAAGCCCCAGTGACAACTTAAGGTTTGTTAAGTGAGAATTCTATGCAAAATTAAAGGAATATATATCCTAGTCTTGCCTGGGCTGTAATTTATTAAAGGCACTGTCTCCAACCTACAAATGGAACATTGAGCCAATGACAAACAGGAAATGCCAAATGTCTTGATAATTCAGCTTTTACATATAATAAGTGAATCCAACAGCTTCTACTTTGTCTAGACCAAGAGTCACCGTCCCAGAATATCTGTTGTCCCTATGAAGCAGGAACTGATGTCTGTGTCCTGGGCAATCTGATGGACCTTGCTCATCACTTTTGGTGGAAAGATGTTCCTTCTGCCACCACACCCCTTAGGTACCTGGACTCTTTGCAGGTCTGGTTTCCATCCGGATGGCTCTTCTCACCTGTCGTAGGAAGGATGAAACAACAGTTAGCCTCCACATGTCAGTGGTCGCAGTGACTAACTCCATCCGGAGTCAGGACAGGCCCCACCAACTCTGGCTCCTGTCTTTTCTGTCTGTATTCTATGTATGGAGTCCAGAGGTCAACCTTGATGTAGTTCCTCAGGTGACATCCATCTTGTTTTTGAGATAGGGTCTCTCATTGGCCTGGAGTTCACCTGACTGGCCAGTAGGCCACAAGAATCTACTTGTGTCTGCCTCCCCCGCTGATATTACAAACATGTACTGTCATATCCACTTTTCAGTGTGGGTTCTGTGGAGTGAAGTCAGGTCCTCATGCTTCAACAGCAAACCCTTAGCTGACTGAGCCAGTCTCTCCAACACCATCTCGCCAGCTCCTCTAATTCTTTGTTAACGTGATACCCCATTGTATTCAAAGGTGATGGTAGCCACGGAGCCCGTGCTTACCAAATTGGTGATCTATGAAGAAGCTGTGAAAAGACTACAAGGGCAGTTCTTCCCGTGAAAGACTACAAGGGCAGTTCTCCCTGTGAGAGACCACAAGGGCAGTCCTCCCTGTGAAGACTACAAGGGCAGTCCTCCCTGTGGGAGACTACAAGGGCAGTCCTCTCTGTGAGAAAGACTACAAGGGCAGTCCTCCCTGTGAGAGACTACAAGGGCAGTCCT